GAGCAATGTCTCCAGCCTTCCCCCCTCTAGGTTTCAAGCAGCCGCATCTAGGAGCGCTTTGTGGAACAAGTAGCCAGGCGCAACCTTCGGGCCTCACACTTGAATTCTTTTGTTATGCCTGAGTAACTGCCAGTCAGGCACATTTGGCGCTGGAAACCCGTTTCCTCCGGCTCTGGATGTGGAGTCTCATTTGAGAGAGTTTCAAAAGGTACTTTGTTGGGGCGGCGGAGGGGGAGGAGGGGAGAAGATGCACTCAAAGGATATTGTGATCTAGTAAGTTTGCTGAGTGAGCTCGGAACTGCAAGTAAAAATGCAAATAAGCCAAAAAAACCCCACAAAAAACAGTGGTGTAAAATGGATCGTCAAGCAAATCTGTTATTGCTGGTGAAATCCTTTGTCGTCTTTATGTTAAATCTGAACATCCAAAAATCAACTATCAATCACTATGCTCCAAAAAGGTTTAAAAAGCATTATTCCCTCACTGAGAAGAACCAGGTCACTTTTTTATATGACAAAATAACAGTTTACCAGCAACAGCAGCGTGGAGGGACCAGGAGAGGCTCCTCTGGCAGCAGCCCCTGTCCATGGGGGGGCGGAGGGGGTCCCATCCTGGACAAGGAGCCAGGTTGCTTGCACACCCAGCTGTTACTACATTTAAACTACAGAGCCACAGCAAGGGTAGCTCCTTCTGAGCCCCTTCCCTGTCACCTACACAAATTGTATTGACTACATGATTACCCAGTTACCCACCTCTTAACATCCTTATTTGGGACCCAGTGTATTAAAGGAATGCTTTTACAAATTATACAGTTCACTTACATGCTTAGTGACAGATTATTAAAATTAATAAGAACAGCCGTACTGGGTCAGACCAAAGGTCCATCTAGCCCAGTATCCTGTCTACCGACAGTGGCCACCACCAGGTGCCCCAGAGAGGGTGGACCGAAGACAATGATCAAGCGATTTGTCTCCTGCCATACCTCTCCAGCCTCTGACAGAGGCCAAGGACACCATTTTATCCCCTGGCTAATAGTCTTTTATGGACCTAACCTCCATGAAATTATCTAGCTTCTCTTTAAAGATTTAACATATCCAATATCACTACATTACTCTTGCCTTTCACTTGCCTTGGACAAAATAAATCCATGGAATCAGTTGTGAGTTTCACTTTCACACACATTAGTGCTATATCAGGTTCAGATTTTTAGTGGCTATGAAGTGTTGGTTTTGTTTAAATTGAGTTTAAAAGACTTAGTAAAGTGGTTTTTATTTTAAAGACATTTTAACCAAATGCAAATTTTAGACCAAATTTAAGTGCCCCTTTAATTACAAACCTTTTAATCTCTTCTAGTAGTAGGACTAACTAACATTTCAATAGAAATTGTTCTACAATGGAAAGCTTTATTTTTTAGCAAAGTTAAAGGCAATGCTTCTGAACTTTTATTAATGGAGAAAATCTGAGTACCTAATCCACTTGCTTTTCTGACGGAATAGAAGATTCTGTGAAATTGTATTCTCCCATTAAACACTTAAGATAAACACTTGGTTGACTGTGTTGCCTTGATCTGTTACTTTGCTCACCCCTTCTGCTCAGTTCTAAGTACTAAAGGCAAAAGGAAGAATTTGGTCTCTAAAGTGCTGGTCAACTAATGTAATAATTCTTTTCCCTGTTCAGAGACCTGAATGTTGAGGGAGGACAACAAGGCAAGGCATTACCCACACAGAGGTACTATATTTGGTTTTAGGGAATTTAATCTTGTAAAGTTTACTGTGCAAGTAGGCTGCCTCATCTTCTAGATAGCTGTGAAAGCTGCTGACTTTATCAATCTTTTCTGTACTTCTGTTAGGGTTTCTGATCCATCTTTCCATTTCAAGATTTTTTTTTTTCCCCTGGGGTACTTTCACTTATGTCAAGGATGGGCAAAACACTAAGGCTACGTCTAGACTACAACCCTTTTTCGTAAAAGGGATGTAAATTAGACGTATTGCAATTGCTAATGAAGCAGGGATTTAAATCTCTCCTGCTCCATTAGCATAAAAATGGCTGCCACTTTTTTTCCCCGCACGGAGCTTTGTCGGAAAAAAGCGCCAGTCTAGACACTGATGTTGCGGAAAATAAAGCCTTTTCCAAAAGATCCCTTACCCCAAGTATTTTAGTGAATGTTCCGCAAGATCAGTGTCTAGACTGGCGCTTTTTTCCGACAAAGCTCCGTGCGGGAAAAAAAGTGGCAGCCATTTTTATGCTAATGGAGCAGGAGAGATTTAAATCCCCGCTTCATTAGCAATTGCGATACGTCTAATTTACATCCCTTTTACGAAAAAGGGTTGTAGTCTAGACGTAGCCTAAGTGTCATACGTTATGTGACTTATATTGTTTCCACTTGGGGACTACTCTGCAATCCAATAGAATTATTGGAAAGTGGCTCCTTGTAATGCCTTCCAATTATTTTTGTCCCGTGTGCTTTCTAAATAATTTAAAGTCTATGCAAGTATTTGTTTTTAAAAAACCTTGCTTAGCACCAAGTAATATGTACTATAGAAGACTTCAAGTGTTTTCCTTATAAACACATCCAATCACTGCCTAACCATTTTATTTTTTCTTCTGAGTTCCCTAAGTGCTGTAGAAAAGTGTACTTATGGTTCTTGTTTGTCACCTTAAGATTTCATGGTCCCATTCTGTGCTATATGCATTAAAGAATGATCACATAGTTCTTATTTACCCAAGAAGCCCCTCTGAAGTCAGTGTAACAACTTGTGCCCTCAGTTCAGCGTGTGCTTAACTTTTAAGCATGAGTACAATTGACAACTATTCATGAGCTTAAAGTTAAGCACATGGTGAAGAACTTTGCTCATCTGAGGCCTGGGTAGGAGTGATGTCATTAAGCTCTAGTTATATAAAATAAAAGTATTTTAGTGAATGTTCAGGTATACAGAGGCTTGATTATTACTATAACTGTTATAAATGTAACTATCTGAACATTTCTATTCCTCTTTTTTCTCTTATCCTGGCTTTTCAGCAGGCTGGTGAGCTAGCAGAAACCAGACAAGGTTTCCAGTGACAGATTCTTTAAAATCAGCATGTTCCCAAGGACAATTTCACTTTCAAAAAGTTCAGATTTTCCAAAGGAACATGTCCTAGTCAGACTGCCAGGTCTAATATTAAAAGAGGAGACAAAAACTTCCCCATTTAAATATTGTTACCTAACCAAAATACTGTATCCTAACCAAAATCAGCAACTTCTCATTGAGATGACCCAGATCAAGGAGTTCCCAATTCCCAGTGATTCCTTCTGGTTGATGGAGCTTTTGGGCCTGTGGTATCTGGCTGGCCAGCCAGGTGTCATTCTCAGACCAGGCATAGGGAAGTCTGAGTTTGTGTTTTTCTTGTATCCCGTGGGAACACTCCTTTCTGGCTTGTGGATTTCTGGTAAAGAGGAGTATGGGAGCATGCATAGGGATAAGTTTCTTCCAAAAGTTTTCTTTAAATATTTAAACTTTACTATGCAGGCCTTATCAATAAGTAATCTGCTTGTCAAGGTGGGCAGGTTAAGTAATGAGAACAGACAGCAACTATTATGATTATATCTAGTCTGCCATGTGGCAGAATATTGCTCTTTGGTCAATACTACAGTAATTTCACAATTAAATCAAAGAACATTAAGCTGCTATGTGTTGTAGTTCCGTATGAAAGCTTTAGTTGAGCTTTATTATTCAATATAAACATAAAATGCAACACACTTGGTGAAACATGCCTTTCAGATTAGGGAGAGCAGAGAAAGAATGTGGGTTAGCTATCTTTTTTTTTTTAAATAGAAAATTGGTCATCATTATACATGTTTTCAGAAATGTGAATACTGACTTTCAATTTTTATCTAATCACTAAGGTTAATGGGTTATCTTGCAGCATTTTTCATTAATGTTGTCTCATGAGGAATTAAGGTGACCTGAATGTTTAAGTTAAATGCAAAGAACTTTTTCCAATCATAAATCACAAAGATCTGAGAGAGAGGCTGGTTAGTGCTGATGGCACTAGCTGAAGACCTAGATACAATCGCCTGGTCTGTCACAGTCAGCCTTTGTGTCCTTGGGCAAGTCTCTGTAAAATGGGGAGAATACTATATCTCTTAACACTGCAGTGTTTGTGATGACAAACAAAGGCTTTCAAATAGTCAAATAAGTATTCTAAAATAATCTAGATCAGTGGTCTCCAACCTTTTTAAGCATCAGATCACTTTTTGAATTTGTGTAATCCAAGATCTACTTCAAACCCAAAGACCCTTGCTCTGCCTCCTTTGTGCCCCTTCTCTGAGACCTCTGCTAACTCCATCCTCCCTCACTTTCACCAGGCTGTGGCAGAGGCTTGGGTGCAGGCTCTGGTCTTGAATTAAAGGGTCTGGAGTGTGAGAGGGGCTCTGAGCTCAGTTTGGGGCAGGCAGTTGTGATATAGGAACCTCTAGGTGCAGGCTCTGGGAGGGTGTTTGGATGCAGGGGTGCTTGGGGCTAAGGCAGAGGTTTGGGGTGTAGGAGGGGGCTCTTGACTGGGGTAGGAGTTTGGGATGTGGGCTCAGACTGGGCACTGCTTGCCTCAGGTAACTCCTCGGTGGTGATGCAGTGGAGCTAAGGCAGGTTCATCCCTGTCCTGTCTCTGCACCACTCCCAAAAGCAACCAGCAAACTCCCTCCCAAGCCCTGTTGTGCCCCCTCTCTGCAGAGATAGGATACACGGTGGGAGGGGGGCACCCTGACATCAGCACCCTCCTTTCCCTCCCCTGCCCTACACAGCAAGCAGGAAGCTCCAGAGGGTGGGTGTGGGTGTTGGGGGGCAGCTCCAAGGCAAATGGCAGGAGATGCACAGTAGTGGAGGGAGGGATAGTTGAAGTGCAGGCACTTGATAGCCTCTTGGCCAAATCAGTCAGGATCCACCTGTCAGAGATTCCAAGGTCTACCAGTAGATCCCAATCTACTCGTTGGTGGCCACTGATCTAATTTCAGCAAAACTAATAGTGCTGGTATAAGTGCAGACAAGTTGAAGTGATTGAGCTAGTCTTCATTAGTGTCTGACAGCCCAGCAGTGTGTTCAGATTCTCGAAACATATCCTCAGAATGCACTGCTTCTAGCATGTGATCTGGGAATTACAGAATAAGTACCCTGAAAGCATTGCAATTGAAGCTGTTTAGGTCAGCACTAGTATGGCTTCAGGACAAAACAAACTGAATCTGGATGATTAGCATGTGGAGCCATCAAATCATTTGTGCGTAAACAGTTTCAGCACTATTGATTTATCAGAAGACTTTTTCTTTGGTGTTAAAACTATTGAATTTTCAAATTAACTTTGCTAACTGAACACTAATACTTAAAGACCATACTCTCACTATTAGATGTTTTTTTAAAGAGTAATGTGTCTTTGCTAAGTTTAAAAAAAAATTAAAGGAAAGGATTTTACTTAGGTAGTGTATTTGAACAGAAACTGCTTTTATAAACAGTTGCTACTTCTTACCCACTTCATTTACTGATGTCATCAAACATTGGCTATCATATCATTGGATTGCCTAGTGGACATTAGAATGGATTAACCTGATTAAAATTGTTTGGATGAGGAATGTAAGAGTGCAGCCATTTAAACAGGTAACTGGTATGCCTGAGCTTATCAGTTACCCAAACTGTTATGCACAGTTCCCAGAGAGTTGGCTGCTATCCTGCACTGCAGACTCTGTATGAAAGTCTGCAGTGTGGGGTGACAGTTGGGAGCACGCTGGTTGCAGGACCCGCTTCTGGGGAGCTGGCATATAACGATAACATTTTTAGAGGCTACATGGTTTAAAATAGCCATTTTTTAACATCCTTAGTTTGGTCATGGTGAAGTAATTTGCAAAAAAAGATCTTTTTGGAATTAGAGTAGGAGTCCAAATTTGTGGATTCTGTTCCAACTTTGTCATTGATAATATCTCTTATGTGTTTGCTCACGTGCAAAATGTTTTCTCTGATTTGTTGTGAGGCTTTGGCCTAGTCCATGCTAGAAATTTGTACTAGCCTTTTTGTTTGGCACAATCTGGCATGCATCAACATTTAAAAGTTGGAAATTACATAGCAGTCAGATAAGTACATGCTGATACAAGACTTAGAACTAATATCATTCAGCAAATTAACATCTCCGTATGCCATCTAGCCTTTTTGTTAGTGACAGTTGGGAGCACCCTGGGCACCACCCTGAGTTCAAATATAAGATACCCACTCACTTCATTGTTGAGGATTCGGATTGGGAACAGAATAAAGAGGAGGAAAGAAGTTCTTCCTTTTGTCAATCCTTGCATGCAAGGTTTGTCATCATTCTGTCTTTCACTGATTTAGTTAAACTAGTGCAAACCCCTATGAAGACACACTTATTGGTTTAAAACCGGATATATCTATTTACAGGGGCAAGCTAAAACAACATAAGTCAGATTTAAGTTGATTTAAGCATGTGTGCATAATTGCACTTATTGGAAATCTGTTTAAAGGACATCTTTAGTTAAATTGGTGCAACCTTATGTTTTTAGATCAGACCTCTACAATTAGGTTCTCATGGGACAGCAGAGAAGGTTTAGTTGTAAAAGTGCTTGGTCTGCGAGAGGTCACCAACTGGCTAAGGATGTTAAGAGGTGGGGAACTGGGTAATTATGTAGTCAGACTGCAGAGTTACAGTGTAGGTAGTGCCTTCCCTTACTGACTAATCACGTAGTCAATACAAATTGTATTAAGTGTAGTAAAAGCCAGGCACGTGGACAGCCTGGCTCCTACTAAATTTAAACTGCAGAGCTGCAGTGGAGGGTATCCCTGGATCCAGCATGAGCTGGGACTGAGCTGGGCTTGCTCAGTCCTGGCTCATGGGAGCAGGTCCCAGCAGGGAGCTGGGACACCTACCCTCCCTCCCTCAGACAGGAGTTGCTGTGGTGAAGCAGCTCCTGTCTGTGGTGGCTGACCGCAGACAGGGGCTTTAAGTTACAGAGGCAGCAAGAGGGGGAAGTGACTAATCAACTACTCTTTTACATCCCTACAACTGGCTATGTAATATTTTCAGAGATGCAACAATGACCCTAGTAACTAAGTCTATTTTATCTATCAAATAGATCAGTGATTCTTTACCTCTTTGGCACTGTTTTGTAATTTTGGCTTAACCAATAAACCAAATTTACCCTTCCTCCTTTTTAATATGGCAATAGACAAAAAGAAAATCACGATTAATCATTTTTATTGTATTTTGTTTCCTCATACATTATGTTGAACAAAATTGAACACATCGTATTTTAAATTTATAACCCCTGAAATATGCCAAATTACCCCTCGAGGGGTAACTACCCCCAAGTTAAGAACCACTGAAAAAGATATTAGCAAGGACAATGGTGGTGTAAATTCTGTTCACTATGAGCTTGTTGAAACAGAGTTAAGCTGGTGTTAGGTAAAAGATATGACTGTAAACTGATCTAGCTAAACTAGTACAATTTTTCAGTGTGAACATTCTTGTTGTTTAAAATGTATCAGTTTAGCTTGCACTTGTAAATTTATTAATGTAAGCTAAACCAATATATGCCAGGTTTTAATGCAGGTGTTTATACGGAGTTACATGGTTTAACAAAAGTAACGTAGAATAGCACCTTTAATTGAAATACCACAACAGGTTTCTGTTATCTACATACCTCTTTTTGGACAGAGAAGTTACTGGTGGCATGACTAGTTCAGTCTTCATGCCCATTTAATCCTGGACTATTCTGCTAAGACTGCTACCAAGGTTGTTGATTATCATTCTGATGGTAGAATAGTTCACTGATGATCTTTTAAAACTAAAAGGCATAATTGTGTTGCTCAGAATGTATTAACTTACCTTAGACTTACACTGTATATGAAGCTGAGCTTATTTCTTTTCCTCTTTAGCTTGCAGATCAGAATGTCATGGACATCAAATAGTTTGGATACCGTGTTTCTCTAGTATTTCTCCAGTATTTCAGCATTAATAATGGATAAGTGTAAGCACATAGGGCGACTACGGCTTGCCCAAGACCATTCCATCCTGAACCCTCAGAAGTGGCATTGCGTGGACTGCAATACTACAGAATCAGTTTGGGCATGCCTTAGCTGTTCACATGTTGCATGTGGAAGATACATTGAAGAGCATGCACTAAAGCACTTTCAGGAAAGTAGTCATCCAGTGGCATTGGAAGTGAATGAGCTGTATGTTTTTTGTTACCTTTGTGATGACTATGTTCTTAATGATAATGCAACTGGTGACTTAAAACTATTGCGAAGTACATTAAGTGCAATTAAGAGTCAAAACTATGACTGCACTACCCGTAGTGGCAGGACTTTGCGATCTATGGGTACGAGTGATGACTCTTACCTTTCACACAATGGTGCCCAAGCCTTGCTTCGGAATGAAGACCGTATGTTCACAGCTCTGTGGCACAGAAGGCGTGCATTAATGGGCAAAGTGTTTAGATCATGGTTTGAGCTAACACCTAGTGGGAAAAAGAGTTTGGAAGAAGAGAGGCTCCAGGAAGAAGCAGAGGAAAGAAGGGATAAAGCTAGGAAAAGGAGACAAGAGCGAAAGCGTCAGCTGAAAGTAGAGATGGAAAAAATGCCTCCAAGGAAGAGTTCTCGTTTACAACATCAAAATAAAATATCCTCAAAAGTATCATCCTGGGTACAAAAATCACCACAAAATTTGTCCTCTCCTATGGAGCTGACAGTAACTTCTACCTCAGATGAAGTACGATTGAAAAAAATTGGTGACTCTCCAATTAAGCGAAGGCCTACAGTGACTCCTGGTGTAACAGGACTGAGAAATTTGGGTAATACATGCTATATGAACTCTATTCTACAAGTATTGAGTCATTTGCTTATTTTTCGGGAATGTTTTTTAAAGCTTGATCTGAACCAAACTCAAGAATTGCTGGCAACAGCAACCAGTGGAAAAACAAGATCCTCTACTAAACACCCTCCAATTACTGGTTCTGCATTTTGTTTGAATGAGAACCAAGTAAAGTTAAAAGGATCATCGTCTATGAGACGACCTAGTTTATCATCCGGACTAAGTGGAGGGGCATCAAAAAGTAGAAATATGGAACTTATTCAGTCCAGGGAGCCAAGCTCAAAGCACATTTCTCTATGTCATGAGCTACATACTCTGTTCCAAGTTATGTGGTCTGGCAAGTGGGCATTGGTGTCTCCTTTTGCCATGCTCCATTCTGTGTGGCGACTAATCCCGGCCTTCCGAGGTTATGCCCAACAAGATGCTCAGGAATTCCTCTGTGAACTTTTGGATAAAGTACAGCAAGAACTGGAAACAACTGGGACCAGATACCCAGCTCTCATCCCCACTTCTCAAAGGAAACTTATCAAACAGGTTCTGAATGTGGTCAATACCATTTTTCACGGACAGCTTTTAAGTCAGGTATGTCTTATTATTTAAAAAAACCTTAATAGTGATGTATCACTGAAAGGATAGGCAAGTCAGTGATATAGAGAACACATTTAATGAATTAGAGTTTAGGGGGAAGATTAGGGCTACTTAGTTGAGCTAGATAAAAAGGGAAATGATAGGTATAAAAAGATGGTATAAAGAAGATTGAGAACTCCTAATTACACTCAATGAAAGGGATTGCCTCATTAAAAATTAAGATTGGCAATAGATGGAAATTCTTACATCATAATAAATTATAGAACCCAGTCTTAAAACATATTATTGAGGTAAGGAGTTTGATCCTCTTTTTTTAAACTCTTGTTGTTTTTAGGGGTACAGAATATAACTCATGGACATAGGTCAGCCATTAAATGCTGGAGTGGGTAATAAACTTCTCTGAGCATAATTGTCTACTATAAAGGTTTATACTTCACTTGGCATTGGCTTGGTCTGGTCAGGTATGACAATTCCTGTGTTCATATGACAGGTGTCAGCTTGAAAACTTGTCAGAGGTTGAACTTGATCTGGAAACTCCTCAATACAGAAGTGATTGCAAGTGTGAATTCTACACAAAGGAGGGGATGCTGATTTAGTACTTTTCTGTATTCTTTTGCATGATGTAGAAAGCTGAACTAACGAAATTAATCACACACTGTCCTTTGTCTGGGCACCCCTCCCATTTTTTTTCAGTTACTGTTAAATACTTTCATGAGTACACTATTCAATGCAAGTAGCAACTTAATACTATACAATCAAAGTACACACACTTGACTAAGATCCCTATAACTATCTGAACTGGAACCCTTAAATTATGCCTTGTGGATTTATTTCTAATTGGTTTTCCTTCAGATTAATCAAGTATTGATAATGATCTTTAGTTTAAGTATGATATGGTATTGCTGTGCAGTAATACACAAAATTATCAACATCTTATGTGTCATATGAAGCAGTGGATTTTTGCTATGTGATAGCTGCTAAAAAGATAAGCCTAAATTAGGTCCAAATTTGGGGAACAAAAAGCTTTGGGGAAGCTTTCAACAATGAGCTTTCAACATTCCTCTCCATGTTTGAATCAGTAAATATTAATAAGCTACTTGTGAGAGTCCTGGTTTGTTACAGAAATACCTTTTAGTTGAAGTGATGTATTTGTATTACTGGTAGTCAAACCATGAAGAGTACTTGACAGCCAGCCCTCTGCGGAAGGTTTTTAGAACATGGAAGCTGTTCTGTATGGATGATGAGAGGGTTAAAATCTCAGTCTGTTAACCTTTCTCCTTTTCAATCAATACTAGGTGCAGAAAAGGCAAATATGGATCTACCTGTCTGATATAGTGACAGTGATTAACAGACTTCTAACTATGATTACCAAAAAGATAACACGACTCACTGAAACAGGATTGACATCTGTTAAAAGGCTTTTTGAATTAACTTGTTACACAGTAGGTATTAAATTCTAGGGGTGGTTTACACACAGGTAGGAACGCTTTAACTACATTGGTACAGTAAGTGTAGTACCACCCCACCCCTGGTGAAAGCGTAACCACCTGCAGGTGGAACAGAACCTGGGACTTCTGGAACTTAGGGTAGAAGCCTGTACCGAAAATCAGCTGGCTTTATAGCTCAAGCTGTAAAGGCTCCCACACTAGTCTCCACAGGTCCCAGGTTTGAATCCACCTGCCGTTTTTGAGCAGTGTTATATATGCCTGTAAGTACTGGTACCACTATAACTTAATTCATGTTAGGTATGTAATAGTGTAGTCAATTAACTGATAAGCAGAAGCTTCTAGGTTAATGCTGTAGACCAGGGGTTCCCGAACTTTTTGTCACAGGGACCAGTAAATCCATTCATGAACTTTTGAGGGCTGGTGATGTTCATTTGCATATTCATTAACCAAATGATGAATATTCGAATAAGTTGTTTCTGGTCCTCCCAAAACCCCCAGTGCCAGCTTTAGCAAAGCTTTTGATATGGTCACCCACAATATTCTTGCCAGCAAGTTAAGGAATATGGATTGGATAAATGGACTGTAAGACAGACAGACAGACAGCTGGTTAGACCAGGGTTTCCCAAACTTTTTACTTTAGTTGGAACCCTTTTTTTTCATACTGCTTTCTGCAGCCCAAAAATATAAACACATAAAACAAACTCAGAAAATACCAGACATATAACATGTCTTGTGCATTCTCATTAGGTAAGTTGTATTATTACATGTCGAAAAAACCACCACATTCTCTCAATTTAATTTTGAAAGAATGTGGCGGCAGTCTAGATGCAGGTGATGTTTTTTCAAAAAAAGGCTACTTTTTTAAAAAAAAACCCTGTGGTCCAAACATACTCTGAGGGTGTCAGAAGGGCCAGTATTGCACTTGAGAACTAAGGACAGGTGTGCTGTGGGAGGAGGGAGCTATTTCTGTGAAGGAGTAACAGAGAGAGCCTGTGGAGGAGAGATAAATAACAAAGAGTATTGCAGTTTTTGGAGACCAAGGGAAGCTTAAGGGCACTCAGGGTCAGCTTGCGAGGCCCAAATACAGCAGCTTTGTGATTCCAGAACCATGGAGAACTCTGCCAGCGTATAACAGGGCAGGACTTATCCCCATGTAAGGATGTTAAATTTAGATTAATCAACTAATTGAATAGTAATTTGCATTGACTATTTCATTAGTTGAAAAGGGCAATTGCACCTTTGAAATGTAGCAAGAGCCCTGCTGGCTCTTGGTACATTTCAAAGATGGAAGTGCTACCGGGAGTGCAGGCCCAGAAGGGGACTGTTTGAGTTCCCTGTTGGCCCTGCACTCCCTGTGGTGCTTTGCTTTTGAAATGTAGCAAGAGCCCTGCTTTTGCTACGTTTCAAAGGCAGAAGCTCCTGCCAGTTCCCCGCTGCACTCCTGCCCCTTCTCCCCACGGAGCTGGTGGTGGTGGGGAA